TGGCCAAGGGAGGAGGTGTAGATGGAGAAGATAAGGGGCCCGAGGACAGAACCTTGAGGGACCCCAACAGAGAGGGGGAGTGAAGAGGAGGTGGCAGTGTTATAGGTAACACTGAAGGAGCGCTGTGATAGATAGGAAGAGAGCCAGGAGAGAGCTTAGTCTCTGAGGCCAAGAGAGTGTAGTTTTTTTAGGAGGAGGGGGTGATCAACCGTGTCGAAAGCCGCAGAGAGGTCAAGGAGTAATATATCATCATAACGGGTTTTACACTGTATGTATGAATGTAGAGCATTTGGTCTCCTTCTTTTTTGCTTACATGGTATTTTTGGGATGCCAAACTGAGGAGAAAGTGATTAGTGGTATTCCTTACTGACTGTTCTTCTATGGAAGCCTGAGCCTGGTCTATTAGTGGCTACAGTTATATCACACTATGCATAACTTTTGTATAATTTGAGAGTCACATACAGTAGCTCCCCCTTACTTGTTTCATTGACGGCTTCCAGGGCACAGAAGATGTCAACTCTGACGAAATGCATAGGAAGGAAATACATACTGTGATGTCATCACTTAACCAGAAGTATCTCCAGAAGTGCACTTTGTTCATTTGTGATATTTTCATACAGTGCTGTTGAGTTTTTCTATATGTAAGTGAAGTTATTCTGATTTAATAAATCATCATACTGGGTTTTGCACTATGTGGAGCATTTGGTCTCCTTTTTCCTTACATGGTAATTATGGAATGCTAAACTGAGGAGAAAGTGATTAGTGGTGTTCTTTACTGGCTACTTTTCTATGGAAGCCTGAGCCTGGCCTATTAGTGGCTGCAGTTATATTATACTATATATGACTTCTCTACAATCTGAGAGTCATATATTTCTAGTAAGCCTTTTGCTGTGTTTTCAAGGTGGGGGAGATTTACTCGGAGTGATTCCCAATGTTTACATTTTGGACAATTGCATGCACAATTCAAAATTGTGGCGATATTCACAAGTGTGGACATTTTTGTTTTATTTCTGTGATAAAATTTTGATTACTGTGGACACGTTATAGGTGTTTATGTGTATGTTTGATTAGAGCTGTACATTTTGTTGTAGTGAAAATAAAAAAAACTGGTAGTGAGAAGTTTTTGGCAGAAGATGTTTTGCATGTCTCTTCCACAAAAAAAAAACTCCACAAGCAGTTTTTTATTTTTTCAGTTTAGTTCCGCTTTAATTTATAAATGCATTAAGATTAGTGCGAACAGCAAGCTTTTATGAAACTTTCATCAAGCTTTTGCAAAGCATTTCTGAAGATTTTGGCAAGCTTCAATCATCTTTCTTGCAGGCTTTAAAGCACCCATGAGCTCCAGTTTGGAAGTGTTGTAATATAACATGGTGCACGCGCAATGGCATTAACCCTTTACTCACTGCTGTGGGGTAACACAGGGTGAGTTGTAGTCTATTATAGCGTAGGGCCCCCCAGAGTCCCCGCCATTGATGGAGCATCTCCTTAAGTACCTTTTCCCGCATCTTTCACTTCCTTTACCCCTTACACCTTTCCTTCTAAAGATCCATGACCAAGAGTTATCCCCAGTACAGAAAGTTAACTCAAGTCCACAAAGAGAGTAAAGATTTTTCTTTTTTTACTAATAAACTGTTTGGAAAATTCAGATGACCATTGCATACATGGTGGAACATGGTTTGAGCAAGGTTATGAAATGCAGTGGAAACTAAATGAGAATTATAAAAGGAGAGCAGAGCTGAGATCTGCATCCAGACTCGGGGTGAAACCTAGTCCCTGCATGTCTCAAGCTGAGAAATGTTGCAATCCATGTTCTCTTCATGGAAAAGCCTATTTGCTTCTCTCTCTCAAGGGGAAAGCCCACACATAATGTCCTTCTTAGTCAGAGTCAACATCCCAGAGGTTAATGTCCCCTCTAAGGGGACCATCCAGCAACTGACCCAGCAGGCAGCTCCAGGCCCCAAAAACCTACTTTACCTTATATATCTGACCCTGCTGGGCACTACCCACAGCAAAGGTTTCATTCCCCAACATCCAGGATGTCAACTTAAGAACTCCCTACAACAGGGGTATTGAATTAAAATTCAAGGAGGTCCAGACACTAAAATTTTCTTCTGACCGAAGTCTGAATAGGGTGTGTAACTTTACATCATGTATTCCCATCACATCAGGTGTGCCTATCAGAGTGCTCCTTTACATCAGTTGTCTCCATTAGAGTGCCCCTTTACATCAGGTATCCCCATCACAGTGCCCCCTTACACTCAGATTACCCCTTTCTATCATATTTCCCCATGAGAGTGCTGATGGGCACATTTTATGTTAAGGGGCACTCTGACGGATACATTTTATGTTAAGGGGCTCTCTGATGGGCACATTCTATGTTGTGCCCATCAGAGTGTCCCTTAACATAAAATGTGCCCAACAGATTGCCCCTTAACATAAAATAAGGGGCATGCTGATGGGCACATGTTATGGTAAGGGGCACTCTGATGGGCACATTCTATGTTGTGCCCATCAGAGTGCCCCTTAACATTCAATGTGCCCATCAGAGTGCCCCTGTAAGACCACACTCTACCTTGAGGGCAGACAGGAGCTGTGCTGGGATCCTTGCTGGACGCTTTTGTACAGGTAGGGTGCGGGAGCCGGAGAAACCGTGAGCTGAAAGGGGCAGGGCACACATGTGATGCCATGTTGCTGTGATGACCACCTTACTCAGTGGTGAATCTGTCATTGGGGGCTGGCGGACCAGGCGGCAGCGCTGCTGGGGCCGTTCGCGGACCGCGGTCCGCCATTTAGTGACCACTGTCCTACAGTATCGGTTCCCAGGACATTACCTCTGCAATGGTGTCATCTAGCTGAGGCCCAGGGGTGTTACCACAGGCACTTCTCTACATATTACTCTATCCCAATGTTTCTCAACCTTTTTCCAGTCAAGTCACCCTTTAAAATTCTTCTTTCACAGCAAATACGCTTTTGCACATTGGTACTGACTAGTATTCCAGCATTTCTTCTTCCTCATCTTCTCTTCCTCATGCAACTAATGTGGTTCTAGTTCTAACAGAAAGAGGAGGGGGTCAAACAAGGATGCTGTGCAGGAGTCCAATGGCCTCCTTATCAACCAATGACATCAACGGTTGTTAGGATGCTGATGGCTGGCCTGCCCAGTGCCCAAGGTTGTAATGTTGCGCAATGAAAACCTTTGGCTTGAACCCCCACAATTTTTGGCCAATTTGGAGCAATTTTTTGGAATTTTGCCAAGGTACCCCTAAAGAATCCAGATGGCATCCCATTGTGCCTAGGCACCCTGGTTGAAAAAGGCTGCTCTATCCTGTAATCCCCTATACAGTGTTAATACTAAAAGTGATATTAAACCCTCTGTTTTTAAGCACTTCCAACAGCTAATTTAATCACTGACTGAGTATGAAACTTCTTTATGTTTTAATCTTGTTTAAGCTGGTGCCGTGACTGCTGCCCAGATTCCTGTTTCAGGATGGCTCCTTTCTCTTGCAAGATCCTTTAGAGCCACTCTTTCAGACAGCGGCTAGAGTTGTATATCCCTACACTGTGTTGATCAATAGAAACACACAGCCCTATAGCCAAGGAAGCCAAGGTACTGCCCTTCTCCCTTCTCCAAGCTAACGCACTGACTGGAGACTGCACCAGTAGCATTGAAAGTTGTAAACTAAAAGGACTGGGTTAAAAATGTTAAGAAATATTTTACTGGAAAATGTTTGTTTTATTGTGTTGAACTAAGAAAGGCAGAGGATTCAATACTGCTTTAAAAAAAGTGCCAACTGTCACTTTAAACAAGCTGTTAGAAGGCTATCAACAAGCTTCAAGTAGTGAAGAAGCCTGCTAGCAGCTTGTTTAAAGGGACAGCCATCACTCCTATTAAGATCTGTGTTAAACATTATCAAACCGCAGCTGATTGGTACTTTAAATGTTCAAAGCTTATCAAAAGTTTCAAAAAATATGAAGTATGGAATTTGGGAACCCTAATCCCCTGTGATCTGGTGCTGCTCGTGTCTCTTCTCTTCCAGATGCCGTCATCTCCTCCTTTTCATCAGATGTGTGCTAGTAACATGCTGGGGGCTTAGGGACAGATTCTGAGGTTATAGAATCTTAGGTCCTAGGCTAAAGAAGGGAAGTGAAAACAATATTATTATTATTATTATTATTATACAGTATTTATAAAGCGCCAATAGTTCACTCAGCGCTGTACATTACAAAGGGGGACAGAAACATGTGACAGAACAATACCAATACAATGCAAAACATGAGGGGATCGAGGGCCCTGCTCTTTCGAGCTTACAATCTAGAAGGGACGGGATAGTGGTACAGGAGGAGATAGCTGTGGGGGATGGAGAGGTAGGAAGAGTGGAGGAGGTCAGCAAGTTAGCAGGGGGTGAGGTAGGCTTCCCTGAAGAGATGGGTTTTCAGGGTATGCCTAAAGGAGAGGAGAGTAGGTGATAATCTGATGGGTTGGGGAAGGGAGTTCCAGAGGATGGGTGACACCCTGGAGAAGTCCTGGAGGCGGGCATGGGAGGAGGAGACCAGGGAACTAGAGAGAAGGAGGTCTTGTGAGGAGCGGAGTGTGCGTGCTGGGCGGTACTTGGATATTAGGTCAGTGATGTAGTTCGGGGAAGTATGGTGGACAGCTTTGTACGTCATATTAATGGTGTTTGCATGGTTTCTGACTTTATTTTTTTTTTATTATTATCATTTATTATTTACTTTGTTTTTAAAACAGTTTATTTACAGACATAAAACAATGTCACAGCTGTGTCAAAGGAAAAGCTGTCAAAGAATACTTTCTAAATACCTTTCAGTCTTTTTTAAAGCTTTTATTTCAGTCATTTTTAAATTGGTAAAGAATGTCCCATGTGTAGATGGCTGCTGCAAGGGCGGACTGACCATTTGGGAACTCGGGCACTGCCTGAGAGCCCTGGGTCAGTAGGGGGCCCCATGAGATGTCCCTGGTACCTTTTCATAGGCTTTTTTGGGTCTGGTTTGATTGTGGGCAAGGACACAGGGGCCCCATGATCGCCTATTGCCCGGGGGCCCCATGAGTTGTCAGTCCACCCCTGGGCTGCTGCATTACTCTTTAACTCTTTAATTCAGCCTGGATAGTACAGCAAGTGGTAAACTTCGGGAACGTACGATTCCTGCTCTCATGCAGTGCACAGCATGAAGGCTTGCATTTCACCTCCTTCATTCATAAAATGTCCTCTATACTTTTCACTGCATACAAGGAATTCTGTGGCTGGGGAAGCATAGGGGAGGGGCAGATGAACGCCATGATCTCCCCTCCTCCAATCACAAAACGTCTTGTATTCTGTGAAAGGAATACAAGACATTTTATGAATGGAGGAGATGCAGTGCAAGAGCGACCAACATAGCCTGCACTCTGCACTGTGTGACAACCAGAATTGATACACAGACACAACCGAGTTCATACTTCCTAATGCTACAGACTGAGCTGCTGCTGGACGGTTGGATGTCTCACCTGGATCTCAACACACCACATGATGAGTCTTTTTAACTATAAATCTTGTAAGCGCAATTCATCTATTGTTCACTAATAAATTGTCTATACCACACTTAGAGGCGCCTTCCTCTCTTTTACAGGATGTTTGGCACTTACTGTACTGTCAGGACTGAATGAAACTAAGTCTGTAAATAACTCAGTAGCCATCAAGCCACTGGATACACCTGATCAGAGATCTTTATTGGTACATATTGGTATTGGAATTCAGCTACAAAGGAGAACTTCAATTTCACTAAAATGATCTAATTATATACAAGTCAGTTTGAAAACTAATATTACAAAAAATAAACAAACCTTTCCCATTTCAGTCTACACCTGATGTAATTTCCCAAGTTCTAAACAAAGTCAAATGTTGTTCTCTGGTGGTATGATGAATTTGGTAAATTTTGTACACATTTTTTTCCCATGGTCCTCTCTGATGAAGTACAGTCATAGCTTCCAGCTGTTCCTCAGCCCCCCCTTATGGAACCAAATCCCTCTGTTCTCCTCAGCTGCCTTGTTTTCTTGGCCTGATGTATAGATCTATATCGGAATGTACTATTCGGCTACTAAATTGTTATACAGCATTATGGGCCCATGCACACAATCAATTAGGGCTGTACACAAGGTCATCTAGTGCCCAGGGCAAAGATGACAAATTGCCGCCCACCTCACGGTGGGTGAGCATCATGTCTTAGCAAAATCCCCCCCCCCCCAAAAAAAAAGAAAATCCAGCACTAATATGCATGTTCACCCCCTAATGCATAAATTCCCTCTGCAAGTAAAATTCTCCCTAAACAAAAATGCTAAATTTACCCCTCCCAATATAAAATCCCATCCTAGCACAAATCTTTGCCTCCCAAATCCCCCCTCCCAGCTCAACCCCTCTGATACTCCCCCTCCAAGTACAAATCCCCCCCCAAATAAATCACACTTCCTAGCACAAATCCCCCTTTCAGCACAAATTCCCTCCAACCCCCCCTCCTAGCATAAATCCCTCCATCCCTCCTCTTAGCACAATCAACCCGCCTAGCAACCCCCCCTCTCCTTCCTCAAATCCCCTTCCCTAAAACATCCCTAATCCCCCTCCTAGCACAACCCGTGTATACACACACACAAACTACCTTTCCTAGCACAATCCTCCCGCACCCCAAACCCCCACTCCCACCACAAACTCTCTTCTCCAAATCTCTTCTCCCAGCAGACCCCCCCCCCCCCATCCCAATACAAATCCAGTACCCCTCACCTCTAAATTCCCCTGCTTGATCAAATACTCACCTTCCCCAGCAAAAAAGTTTGTGTCCCCCCCCATTGTGTCCCCAATACAACTCCCTCTCTCCCTGAAACTTACAGCCATCAGATGCTACAGTAGCGGGAACTTGATGAAGGAGTAGTGACAGCGGCAAATAGGAGGAGAGCTACTCCCTCCTGTCCATATACCAGAGTTGATACAGGACTGCTGTCAGATCAGAACTGCACAGGGTTTGAATGCATTCCCCCAAACACACATTTTCTGCTGCTGGAAGAGGAGCCGTCTAAGGAGGGGATAGTTGGTGGGTAATCAGACCCTGCACAGTCCAGATCTGACAGCATTCCTGTATCCACTCCTGTATCAAGGAGTGCTGCTCTGACAGGAGGGAGGACCCAGGGGAAGGGGAGACCACAGACCACACCTCCTCCTGTCTCTCTCCTCCTCTCTACTGATGTCACTAATCCGCACTATGCAGCACCCCATTCCTTCACATGAGTTCACTGCACCAGGGGCAGCTGCCCCTACTACCCTCTCCTTCCTCCTTGTCCTGGCCCTGATGCGAGCAGCTATGGACAGAATTAACCTGCTATTGGTTTGTATAGACTTCTGCCCACAGCTGATCGCAGACATCTATCTGAACCTGCCTCACAAATACAGCGATCTGGATGTATACAACCATAATCAGTCATGTGTACCAGCCCTATACCTTTCATCCAACCTCATAGTTAAAGTGTTACTAAATCCACAACAGTAAAATCAGTCTGTATATACCGTAAAGCATGCTTGTTATACTCACTGTGGAACCTAAGGGATTAATCTTCCGCACTGTGTAAAAAGGCTGTTTGATCCTGTCTTCTCTGATCCCCCCCTTCTTCCACAGTCCCCAATCCATCTGCCGATGGTACAGAGCTCTAGGAGGCACTCTGCATTAGCTCACTTTAGTGTGTTTGGCTAGAGAGGTATTTTTTTTTCTTTGGGAGGGTGCATGTGATCAGCAAAGGGCCAATCAGCGCTGTCCAGACATAGGGTCAGGGGTTATGCAGCCTCAAAGGACAGTCAGAGGAGAATGAAAACTCCTCCTACAAACTTTAACCAGTGCTCAGTTGGACACTGATAGAAGTCTCAAGACTGCTATATACTGCTTATGCAAAAAGGTATTTAGCAGTTTATATTTACTAAAATAATTGAATTTCTCTGTTCTGTGTACTGTGGGGGACCAGATATAGCGAATGCAGGGTCCTGGGTTTAGTAACACTTTAAAGCCAGTATAAAAGAAAAATAGGTGTGAAATAAATAGTTGTGGGTTTAACAAATCATTTTTGGCATATCAAATCTTCATGGTCCAAATAACGGGGCATGGGTGGGATGTGTCATTTGCTTACATACATGGTACTAAAAGGTGTTTTTTATCCCAAAAATTTGGGAAGTATGGATCAGGTACATTTACCTGCAAGTGTTTTTTCTTATAAGATTTTCAAGTAGCCCATGTAAAATGTGTGTACAGTGCATTTTGCATTTGTCATGACACCATACCGGGCAGCACAGTGGCTAAGTTGTTATCACTTCTGCCTGGCAGTACTAGGGTCATTGGTTTGAATCCCAACCACGGCACCACCTGCCTGGAGTTTGCATGTTCTCCTTGTACCTGCATGGGTTTCTTCCCACACTCCAAAGACATGCTGGTAGGTGAATTGGATCCTGTCTAAATTGGCCCTAGTCTATGTATGAATGTGAGTTAGGGACCTTATATTGTACGCTCCTCGGGGACGGGGACTGCTGTGAATGTACAATATATATGTAAAACGCTGCGTAAATTGACAGTGCTATATAGGTACCTGTAATAAATAAATAACGTGGATATCCACACTCATGCTGAAAGTGCATTCTCTCTTTGGAAAAGACTGACATAAAAACACATGCAAACATATTCTACTATACATATGTAGCACAAAGCATGCCAAAATATACAGTACAGCAAATGTATAGCATTACATACTGAGCAAAGCATGTTTCACTTGGATCACTATACAGTAAATAACTGCTCTTTAAGACTACATTCATATTGATCACTAGATGGCGATCTTCTACTTTGCAAATTGCAATGTTAGTTTATTACAGAACCCCCCCACCCCCCCCAGGCTTGTAGTGTGGAATGTGTCTGGGTGCTTTGAGCTCCTCTAGACTGAAGCAATAAACACTACAGCAATCTTAGCCTATTCACCACATTGGCTTCTTAGAAATAATGATAATTGCTAACAGCCACCACAGAATTTAAAACAATAAAAACATTACATGCGACAATTTATTTATTTATTACAGGTACTTATATTTACATATTAATATGTCATTTATTTACGCAGCGCTTTACATATACAGTGGTACCTCGGTTTACGAACGCTTCGGTTAACGTAATTTTCAGTTTACAAAAGAAAATCCATTGAAAATAATGGCTCGGTTTACAAATTTTTTTCGCAATATGAACAGATTAATTGGTTTTCAATGCATTTACAAATTCATTTTTAATTATGTCCCTGCACAGTATTTGTGACTTTAAAGTGCACTTTAAAATGAGTTTTGAACAGATAAAAGACTTTTTTTTAAACTTTTTTCTGACCTCCGAACGGATCAATTGGTTTTCAATGCATTCCTATGGGAAACCGCTTTTCGGTTTACAAATATTTCACAATACGAAAAGTCCTGCAGAACGCATTAATTTGTAAACTGGGGTATCCCTGTGTATACTGTACATTCACATCAGTTCCTAACCCTCAAGGGGTGTACAATCTAAGGTCTCTAACTCACATTCATACATACACATACTAGGGCCAATTTAGACAGGATCCAATTAACCTACCAGTATGTCTTTGGAGTGTGGGAGGAAACTGGAGTACCTGGAGGAAACCCATACAGGCACAGGGAGAACATGCAAACTCCAGGCAGGTGCTGTTGTGGTTGGAATTTGACCCAATGACCCTAGTACTGCCAGGTGGAAGTGCTAACCATTTAGCCACTGTGCTACCCAATGGTAACAATATAAAACAGAAGTAATCGAGCACTGGGTGAGTGGTGAAATATAAGTAGTTGCTGGCATATGAAGGTGAACTTCAAGGACCTACAAATTAAAAATGGTATATGTATAAAATATGCAGAGCTGGTAAACCTACAGAGAGCAATCACATAAACCAAGGTATATATAACATATAAGGTGCTGATCCCAATGAGATGGGATGCATAAAGTGACAAGTGTGGAAAAGTCAATAAACTTGTTATGCAGAATATCCTTGACTCCTGTGATAGTGGAAATGGATAT